TTTTGAGTGCTCGTTTTAGTTTATTTTAGGTTTTTCCAAGTATACTTAGTCGTTTTTGCTCATTTTTATGTTTTGGTGTCGTCTTGGTTTCTTGTGCTTTTTAATTTTCTTTTTTATCTTTTATTTTGTACAGAAATTCAGTCTGGAGACACGCTTAACGCCGCCAAAAGAATTGCTTGGAAGCTTGCAGAAAAAGTCGCAGGAAAATTTTTGGTCAGTCGGCCCAGTAAGAGCTTGGTGGACACGCGGACCAACTCCCGTCCAGCCCTTGTGCGCAACCACGAACAAACCCTCGTCAACGCCGCACCTTGCCCCGTCGTCGCACGTGATTCATGTGCGAGCGTGCACAAGTCTGCAACGCCAATTCGCCTAGCGAGCTGTTTCGCCAGCCGGCAAGTGCCTACCATAGCCAGTTCTCCTTACGAATTGTTCCACCAGTCGAGTGCCTACTATAGCCAGTCCGCCTAGCAAGTTGTTCCGCTAGCCGGCGAGTGCTGACCACAACCAGTCCGCCTAGTGAGTGGTTCCGCCACCGAGCAAGTTCCCACATTAGCTATTCTGCCTCGCGTGCTATTTCGCCACCGGGCGAGTGAGTCTCATTTAGTGTGTGTATTTTTAGTGTCTATTTGTGGTGTGGCTATAAATAGACTAAGTCCTTTGTATTTTTGGGACAACTCCTTCATTTTCCTACTTTCTAGTTGGGAAATTAGCTATGTTTCTCTCATTTCTCTCTCTAGTTCATGTTTTGAGCTTCAAGACTTGAAATTTTTGGCGATTTTCCGACGATTTCTTTTTATTAAAGTTTTGAGCTTTTTGCATATATTTTTCCCGGGCATGCAATAGGAAAGTAAGTACCTAGTTTAAGACTTATTATTTCGAAGTCTCTCTAATTTTGCTTCTTATGTGGTTTGATGTGAAAATAGCTTCTTGGTCAGAATTCATGTGGATTGACTTAGTTTTTGTTAAGTTTTTATCTCTTCTCTTATTTTGCTTATCAAGTGTGATTAGTTGGTCAAAGATCGAATCTTTAAAGGTAAAAATCGAGCCTTTGTTGAAAGGATTTTGTAGTTGAGTGTTTTACTCTAGCCTCTAGCTGCATTAGATTTAGCTTGTTTCTATTTGTTTTTAACTTTTCTCAAGTGTTGAAGACTCCGAGTTCGATAAAGTTTCAAATCTTTAATTAAAGTTTGCATCTTTAGGTAATTTTCTTGATTTTTTAGGTTAAATTAGTTTAAAATCAACCCATCCAATCTTGTTAGCTTTAGGGCTTTAATTTTCCCTTTTGTGCTTTGAAGACTAGTTAGTGAGCGAAGCTCTGAATAGTCTTCCTTGAGAGACGACCTGAGGTTTTGAAATACTCGGTTACCAATCAATTACTATACTCAACATGGCACTAGTATCAATGTACCACTCACTTGGGTTATCCACCATGTTGTCTTCAAACACCACAACCAACATATCAAAATCGGCCAATTCACCCGGCACACGACCTTGTTCAACAATGAGGGAACACGGTAGCATCCTCCCCTCTTCGGTCCAACCTTCTTTGCCTTCTTGCAGTCCTTCGCTATGTGGTTCAGCTTTACACAGTTGTGGTAGTTTTTGGTAAGCTTCTAAACCTTGGCAGACTGCTTACCCTTATTAAGGGGCTTCCTCTTTCTCGTGTTGCCTTGCTTCAGCAAGTTAGCACGAGCCTCAATCTTTGGGGATTTCCCCAAAGACTTACAGTTGACTTCCTCAATGCGAAGACGAACCACAAGGTCTTCAAGACTCATTTCCTTCCTCTTATGTTTGATGTAGTTCTTGAAGTCTTTTCAACCTGGCGGTAGCTTCATGATCACAACCGCAAGTTGGAACGACTTGTCAAAGTCATTTCTTCAGCATGGATGTCATGCAAGATGAGTTGGAACTATTGCACTTGAGACACGACGGTCTTCGAGTCAACCATCTTGAAGTCAAGAAACTTGACGACGACGAATTTCTCGCCCAGACATTCTCAGTCTTGTACTTTTTCTCCGAGGCTTCCCAAAGCTCCTTGGAAGAACCATTTGAGTTGTACGGATTGTAAAACTCGTTACTCATTCTGTTTAGGACATAATTCTGCAAAACTAATCACATTTCTCTCCAGCATCGTACACAGCGCGTAGTTAAGCATTAGTTTCATTTTCAACCACAAATGAGGGGTCGTTCTTTAGGTACTTCACCCAAACCCAAGGTGGTTTGGTAAAAGTGTATCTTCTATTGCCACCTCTTGAAGTCAAACCGTTTCTTAAACGTTTTAGCGTATGGACATGGACAACAGATACGGGACGATGAACAACAGTGCTGATCGGCTGTTGTTGCTGTTGAGTTTACTGAATTTGGGAACCTTCTCCGGGGGATGCCATCAGTTAAGCAGGTAGAATATTTGTCTTGCGATTGTTACAAATGTTGAGTATTGAATACACGGGAACCTCTGAACTGATGTGTTCATCTTTTACAATATGAACTAAAATAGGAAAAATAAAATTACAACTTAAGAGCGGAAAGATTAAGGCCGATGCGCGTAAACTCTTTTTGCAAGACAAATACACCTCGTTTAATGCTAATGAATCGGTTCATCTTGTCTCAAAAGATACAACGACTATTGACTCGGAAGTTGTAGCACACCAGACTTTAGAGCTCCAGCGAACACGAACATAGACGATCATTGAGTAATGTATACAATATGATCCATGAGGCTTTTAGTATAGAATGAGATGTAGATGTATGTCTTATATGTCTTTTGCAGCTTCTACATTGTCCTATTTATAGGACTCCCACCCAACTAGGAATGACTTTTGATATTCAGTCACTTAAGGCATGTAATAACCTACTAATGACTGTTGTTAGTGGGAAAAAAACGATCAGGTGTTAAGCCTGCCGTCTTCATGTGTTGACACACCATCAATCCACCTGGAAACCACCAAAACGGTCAGGTGGAAGGTTACATG